AAAGTCATAAGAAGTGAAAGTTAGCAACGTATAAAAATGAAAGTTAGACGTCTAAAGGTGAAAGTGACGTGTAAAAGTGTTATACAAAATATAACAGTGAAAGTTATAATGCCTTAAGTCAGAGTGAATGTTAGAAATTGTCTAAGTGAAAGTAATTACCAAAAATGAAATTTATAAAAAATGAAAATTTTAAAAGTGAAAGCTATGAAGGCGAAAGTTATAAAAGTGAACGTTATTAAAGTGAAAGTTACAAAGTGAAACTTTTAAAAGTGAAAGTTATAAATGTGAAAGTTATAAATGTGAAAGTTATAAATATGAAAGTTATAAATGTGTAACTTATAAATGTGAAAGTTATAAACGTGAAAGTTATAAACGTGAAAGTTATAAAAAAAGTTATAAAAAATGAAAGTTGAAAAAAGTGAAAGTTAAAAGTAAAAGTTATAAATTATAAGTGAAAGTTCTAAAAGTGAAAGTTCTAAAAGTGAAAGTTAGAAAAGTGAAAATTAGAAAAGTGAAAGTGATAAAAGTGAGAGTGTTAGCCTGGGAAATCCCCCGGCCGGTGACAGTGAGTAACGTTAGACCCGGGAATAACGACTTTCCCCGCAGGTGACGGTTTTGTTCCGGTAATTCTGGGTTCATGAGAAGCGAGTTTGCGGTAATCAGCGCCCGTTATTTCCCCTTCAAACACTTCATTAAATAACCCATCCAACACTCCAACACTTCATTACTTTGTCGTTTGCAGCCGGGAAATTCATCAACCCGGGATTGAAGCCGCCACCCGACCGCAGCCGGCGGCATTGTTGTGAGATTGTCGTGTCATTGTTGTGGCATTGTCGTGCCATTGTCGCGGCGGATCGGGCCGTGTTTGTAGTGCGCGCCGGTAGGTCAGCACGGGTGAGTGGCCGGTACAACACGCCACTAGAGATCCGCACACAGAAAACACGCGGAGCTGAATATATGAAAGCCGCTTTTGTGCGGCAAACGCCCCGCTTCGCACATGGGCCAGGCGGGAAAATTCTCACCGGTCCTTTAAATACAGAGTCGTGCAATCACCAAATATTGGCCTTTCCGCCGAAGCCTCCACCAGGCCTTCCCTCTATGCAGAGGTTTGGGTTATTTTTGGCATGTTTTAGGCTTTTCATTTGTTGGGGAAAAAAAAAAACAGTGCAAAAAAGAAACCCCGATTAAAAAAAAAACCTAAAACACGCCGAAAATAACCCCAAACCTAAATCTTTGCTTGGAGAGTAGAGACTAAATATTCTCCTACTTCGCACATGGACCCAGCGGGAAAATTCTCACCGGTCTGTACATTAGGGTCTAGTCTCCAACAGACATTGCAGGCTGAATTAATGGTAGAAATCGGCCTAAAAAGAACGTAGCTGACCAGGGGAGTTAGCCGGCGGCCATAGAGGGTCCAGTTTGCATCCATGCAGGTAACTCCCCTGGACAGCTACATTCTTTTTGGGCCGATTTCTACTATTTACTCAGCCTGCAAAGTAGTCTTTTGGAGACTAGTCTGTAGTCTGGTTTATTGGTGGTCCAGCCGTAGCCTCCTGGTGACCAGGCCTTTATACGGAAATACGGATCTTAGAATACGGCGAAAAGGACAGTAAAATTGGCCAGGCGAGTCAGTCCGCGGAAGGTAGTCTTTTCCCTCCGAATTGCGCGGCCAACCAAACTCCGCTGGCAAATATTCTCCTATACATAGCCAGCGTAGTTAGTCTGGTAGAGACTATAGACTATAGAGTCCCGCACAGTCACCAAATATTGTCCGTTCCGCCGAAGCCTGATTAACCCCACCGCAAACCGCTCATCGCTAATCCGATTGCGGAGGATCACGGCAGATAGCGATGACACAGGGAAAGAGGATTGCGCCAAATCTCCCGCAAACCCAGCCACAAACGGAGAATTACAAACTACACATGTATAATATATAAATACAACGTGAGGTCACATATGTGATACGGTAGAGTTGTCATGCGGTAACGACCAACATACAGATAGTGATTTTGTTTGTTTCGCATAACCGGTAAACCGCCTTTAGGCGTAACACACCAGTTTTGTACATGTACGTACATGTACAAGCTGCGTAAGACCGGACTGTAAGGTTTGAACCACTCACACCGGGAAGGTCCCCTACTCTTTTCAATAAGTCCGGTGGGTTCTTTAACGTGCATGGGGTGTGGCTCTCCCCAAACACGGGACCTTCATTTAACGTTCTATCCAAAGGGACGTGATGACATATTTAGCCAAATAAAGAAGATTTTATACTGATCAAATCTCCCAGCTAATAATATAATTGTCATTTTATAAGCGATTCTGAAATGGCTAATTACAAAGTTACACATGTATAATATAAAAATACATTAAAAACACGGGGTCACATATACTAGTATCATATGTTTTTTTGCGGTAGGATCGGTAGTAATGACCAAAATGACCAACAGTTACTAGAGGCGATGTCACATCCAAATAAAGATTTTACCGACTAAATTGTTCAGCTAAGCGATTCTGAAATAGCTAATTACAAAGTAACACATGTATAATAAATAAATACGGCAAACTCTGGGCACATATCGTTTGGTCACGTATCGTTGCGGTAGAATTTTCTTGTACCCACTGGTGAGGCATACCAGTAGCATCAAATAAGATGTGTTTTTTAAACTTACAACAGATAGTGATGACATACATATCGAAGGAAGATTTTACCGTGGATTTCACTGTCTAAATCTCCCAGCTAAGCGATTTTGAGATGGCTAATTTAAAAGCTATACATGTTTAATATATAAATACAGGAAAACGCGCACTGGGTCACAAATATCTTTCGGTAGAATTTTCATCTAGTAACGGCCAACAGATCATACACTGACGACACAGCGAAAGATTTAATTGACTAAAGCTCCCCTCTAAGCGATTCTAAAATGGCTAATTACAGAGTTATACATGTATAATGAATAAAATACACAGATACTTGGAAGCTTGTCTGAACAAGTTTTGCGGAACCGCGTATTTTCTAGCCTCTACCAGGCTTCGGGAGGCGGCTGGAAAGAATAGAGATCGGCCAAATAGAGAGATAACATGTCGAGGGAGTTGGTCTGCTCTGGAGAGCGGCAAACTGATCTCTCCAGCAGGTCAACTCCTCTGGCATGTTATCTTTCTAGTTGGCCGCTTTCTATACTTTCCGTCCGCCTCCCGAAGCCTGGTAGAGGCTACGTATTTTCCCAACCGGGTGTTGTTGTTCCCACACGTTAAGAGCCCGGCCGGCGGTTTCCCCATCATTTGATTATAGATGCATAATGTATGTGGTTAAATACAGGTATCCTCGGTGTGCACAGAGGGGGGGAGCTGGGACTATTCTCCAAGAGGTTTAGGATTTCGTTTTTTAACGTCTTTTTAGGTACGTTTTATTCGTGTTTTTTTTTNTTTTTTTTTTTTGTACTGGTAGCTTTTGGCCTGTCAAACTACGGTGGTGTATTGGGTAGCCTCTACCAGGCTTCTGTAGGCGGCTGGAAAGAGCAGAAATTGGCCAAACTGAGAGAGATAACATGCCGGGGGAGGTGGAGAGTAGGAGAGTAGGAGAGTAAATTTTGCCGCACTCGAAAATGTACTTTCTCTCGACATGTTATCTTTCTATTTGGCCAATTTCTACTATTTCCAACCGCCTCCAGAAGCCTGGCAGAGGTTTCGTATTGGGTACTGTCCTGCCGATTTGATTCTCTCTTGTTATGTAGCTACCAAATAAAGATCTGCTTGGAGATTTTTGAGTCTTCATTTGCAAAGTCATGCCAATACAATTGCCTTTACTATACTATACAAAGATACTACATGGTACAAAGCAATAATAGGGACAGACACAATACTGTCTGGCAAAACTTATACTGTACTTCTACTGCTACGCTTGCTATTAGGTTTTTGCTTACTCTCCAAGCAGAGGTTTGGGTTTTGGGGGGTATTTTTAGGCTTTTTTATCGGAGTTTCTCTTTTGCACTGAGTTTGGTGGGAAAAAAATTAAGTGCAAAAGAGAAACCCCAATAAAAAAGCCTAAAAACACGCTAAAAATACCCCCAAAACCCAAACCTCTGCTTGGAGAGCAGTTTTGCTATTACATGTATTTCGCGTTTAACAGCGCAGTAGGAGGTATTTGTGCCTGTATTACGCGCAGAGGGCGGTATTTGTCCCGAGTTGATGATACCAGCAGGGCCCGGCCCGTGTGTGGAGCTGTGTTACCGGCACAGATGGGAGGCGAACCGGCAAATAACAGCCCGGACCGCGGGGAGCTACCGGCCTGACCTTACGGGAAGGGAGCATGGGAACAAATCGGAAAAAAAACACCGAGGAGTTTGGTACAGCCGGGATATACATGTATTAGATACTCGAATGAAATCTCATCTGTATTGGTAGAATCCTAGTAGAATTGGTAGAGTCCTGGTAGAATTGGTATGAATGAGATCTAACGAAAATTTCTTCTGGTGTTGAAACAAATTTGAACTTTAAAACAATGTGTTACATATACACAGTTGCCTCTTTCGTCGTCTCGGGTATCTATACTAGGGGGATAGGCTGCCCTGTCCAAGACTTACTGTACTTCACCTAGCGACATGCGTCGGAACTACAGCCATTAAAACACGCACATTCGTTCAGTCTGAATATTACAAAATGTGTATACGGTCCTGTATGTCCTTAGGTAAGGGCATAGAGCAAGGCTTGGCTTTTAACCTTCTGGTACTGATGGATGCTGTATTCAGAACTATGCTCAGCCTGTGATGGTTCGGGATATCCCACACATATCCATAACGGTGCCTGGGGCAAATCTGTGTCCTTGGATACGCAGAGACTATTAAGAACCGTGTCTGATCCTAACCCTAACCCACTCAGGCATAGAACTAGATAGGCACAGTTCTGGTTATTTAAGTTACACCATGACACATGTACATGATTGTTCACACCCCAAACCTTACTTCACTCTAACATAGAGGGGTAACGACTCGGTCAACAAAAGGTTCGGTTAATAAATCTTTAATTCTGTGCAGCTGACAACGTTATATTCTATACAACACGTGACATGTTAGAGAATTCTTACATACATGTTACATGCACACATACATATGTGTACACACACATACATGTACATACATACAGGTACATGTACATAAACCCACAATCTTTTCCATTGTGGGATGCAGCAAATATCTGAGAGTTTTTACATCTATAAAACTGATCTATCATGGTTTACAGATACAGATGCTCCACCAATATAACAAAATATAAAACAGTAGGGATGGACATTGTGGACCTTAAATACAAATCATTAAAAATGTACAGTTATCCTTTGATATTAGCTCTGGTCTGTCTGCCTTTCATTGTCATGTTTTAAGTCTTCTGATGAATTGTGTAGAAACAAATAAACAATACTGTATATTTTGAAAATTGCAAAAAAAAAGAAAATTGCAATCATTCAATAACTCTGTGGCATTGGAGCTGGAATGTACTGATGTACAGAATTCCTGTTACCATAGAAATGGTAGTTTCCATGGCAACGCTGGTTGCTAGGGAACAGGGAAGGGTTACCATGACAACCAGTAATTACAGTAGACTTTTCTTTTCACATACAAAATATAAACATCTCGATTCATACAACAGTATCTGTCGGTGTATGCAGTTTTAGTACATATACATGTATGGGACTGAGGGTGGGTGTTTTAAAGTTTTTCAACATTTGTAGAGGATTTCTGAGTTGGAGTTATTTTCCTACTGTCTGGCACAGGTTTTCTTGTAACTGTGTGGAGAGAGTTCTTGTTTCTGTGTAGAATTCTAAGTAGAATTCTTGTTTCTGTGTAGAATTCTGAGTAGAGCATGACAGCTGTTTGACTGTTGTTCATGTATTGCAGATTGTGAGTCTGACATTGTAAAACTTCCACAGATCACTGTTTACCGACGGTGTGTTTGGCCATTTTTGTGGCAGCATAAACTTCACACTTCAGTCACATGTAGGTTACTAGATCCCTTGGATACTAGTTAGTATTCCCTCCCAGTGAGAATACTGAGCTCTGTTCTACCTAAGCCTCCCCCCCTGCATCGTCACCACCCTCTTCAACTTGTTCCCCCTCGTCCTCACCCCCCTCTGGCTCCTCTGCCTGCTCCCCCTCCCCCTCTCCCTCTGTAGGGGGGGTCTCCTCTGCTGGGGGGGCCTGGAAACAAACAAGAACAACATCAGTGACATGTTATCATGAAAGTTCATCTGTATTGGAAGTAATCATAGTAAAACAATGAACTTTATTCCAACACACAGTTTACAGAGATCAAATTTTCAGTTGGTCCTTCATTATCCTGAAGAAGGCGACAGTGGTCGCTGAAAATTTTATCTCTCTGTAAATTGTGTGTTGGATTAAAGTTCATCGCTTTACTATCAGTAACATGTCATAATAACAACATTCAGTGAACAATCAGATGCACTGATTCACAAATTAAGAATAATTTCATCACTTGGACATCCAAAAAGTTTGAAACATGACAAATTATAATCGTTGAAGCGCTTTAAACAAGTTAACAAGTCAAACCTTTCATTAGATTTGTTTGAACTTTGACTCAAAAATTCAAAGCTGCCAAAATCTACAAAACTTCAAACAAGAATTTGCTGTGCTATAAAATGTTGGTGTCCAGTCAGTAACCATCGTAAAAACGCATTAAATTTAAAAAAAGTATTCTGTTAGGAATGGGAAAAATTTAACGAGAACAGTTCATTGTGGTTTGATTTGATTTGATTGTGCACAAAAGTGGCGTTAATGTTAGGGTGAAATGAAGTAACTGAATTTTTCCATAAACTTTCTTTGACATGCTTTAAACATTCCAAACCTTGCATTCCAAAACATGCATTCTAAACCAAAATGTACCAACAATTATTAATCCATGCATAGAACAGTTAGACCGGGTTAGTCCGCCACCATAACCAACTAAACATTAACTATAACCAAAATACAGGAGGTGCAGTACCCAGCAATATTACTAGGGGGAGCCGGAGCCTGGAGTCGCCTGGGGGGATACATTACACACAAACCAAGCCATGAGCGGGGAGAGATGCAAAAATCAAGGTGAAGTCGCAAGCTTTGGTGGCAAGAAAGACATGGCAGAGAAAGAAACATTTCTGCAGATAAAACAAGAACCTGCTTGGAAGTGTTACTAGATCATTTTCCCACATTGCAGTGATAGCATGAGTTGCAGCTTAGAAGTGTGCAGACAGAACTTTAATAGCAGAGCAGAGCAGACTTTCCCTGTCTTTTAACTCAATACAGTTTAAACCCAGAGATGTGAAACTGCCACCCACCAAGTCCCACTACAATCTTATAACCCTACAATTTCAGTAAATTAGCATTTCTTCCATACATACACTTCTTTTTACACATTTGAAATCTATCCAGTTGTTTGAGTAAAAGATTTCTTGTGTACCTCATTACCTGGATGTCTAACCTTCATCTACACACCCACACATTTTAATCATTACGTCCGACTCGGTAAAGGTTAGACATCCAGGTACAAGATATGGCAAAAAACAGTTACTCAAGCAACTGGATATGATACCTGTTGTCAGTGACACTGACTTTGTAACCACAAGTTTAGACAGTACAAGTTCTTACCTCAGCTGGAGCCTCCTCAGGTTTGGGTTCCTCTGTGAAGGCGGGAGCTTCCACCACAGTCTGAGACACAGACACGGAAGGCGCCGCGCCGCCGGACATCTCCTGGATGGAGCGCTGGAGGGCCTCGAACGACTCCATTCTCTGGGCTACTACCTCACGGATCAGAACTGCAGGGGCAAAAGTAATTAGTTATTTATTAATAAAAATAAATGAATAAAGTTATTATTGATAAGTTTATTGCAAGTCCTGCAGCAGGGATAATACCAAAAATGGGAAAAGGATGAACAAACAATGAACCACAATGATTTCACAGATCAGAACTAGAGTGGCAAAAAAGTTCTTAAGCTGATAATAAGTCTACATGGGGGACAATTGCAGAAGGGAAAGGATAAGCAAACAATGAAGCACTATACGTACATAACATGTGACCACTGTACTCTAAAAACTACACTGTAACTTTGTAACTTGTTGGGTTTGACTTCTCCCTTTTTCTGAGACAGTGGAAGACCAACAAAGATCCCAGTTTTACTCCAATGATAGCTACATGTATCATACTTTGTGTACTTCAAACAGACAGTTAAGCCTTACCATCCACCATACTTAATGATAGCTACATGTACATGTATCCTAGTAGTTTGTATACACAGAAAGGTAAGCTACACTTTGTGTACACAGAAAGGTAACTATATAAAACTTACCGTCGACCATGGTCCTGCCCAGTACAGACTTGTCAATGGCCTTCTCTACTGTCTCCATCAACCACGGCAGGAATCCGGACTCCACGTCTAGAACAAACAAACAAACAAACAAACATTAGAAATGCTCGTCTTGAGCTGTCCACGGTTCTGAAGATATATCACAAGGACTATCATAAGAGTGGAACTTACTGCCACAAAGTACAGTAGGGATATAATTAAGATGGCTTTAAACAACAATGCCTGCATGGTTACATGTGACAGGTTGTTCGGTATAATAAAGCCAGCTGCCGCCGCGCCGCGTGCCTGCGAAGCTGCTGTGTGATATCGAAAAGCCGTTATACCAGCCATACAGATATCATACAGTCAGGGTTCTCGCCAGCGCATTTGAGCGTCGGGGGCCCCGACGCTGTGAATTTTTACCCCGACGCTGTGATTTTGCCCCCGACGCTGTGGTGCAGCCAGCGTCGGGGGGTTTTGTTGTTTTTTCCCTTTTCAATCTGTCCTGTAGTAATAGTGAATGAATAGTACTTGATTTGAATTTGAAAGCAAATATTGTCTTTGCCCTTGTCACAAGGAACACCTCAGACAATGGAGAACAATGTAATTAATTGGTCCGGGGGAAAGTAAAGGTACCGCTCGGACTCGCCCAGTCGGGAAAATGATCTTCGGGGAATCCCTTAGTATAGCAACCAATTTTTCCCGGTAAAAATACAATTATGAAAATACAATGCCAGTGAAAATCATCTCTGTTTGTAAGAAAACCCATTAAAAGTCTCTAGATACCGTTATCTCGGCAAAGAATGCGGCAAATAGCTTTTTTTGTAACCAAACATCGGGCCTGTCTTGCTTATTTTCGTCCGCGGCGCCATTTTAAATTAAAATCTCGGCCCAACTCTCGCGAGACTTGATATCCTTATATCATTCGTGGGAGTCAGGTGATCACGAGATCTTGCGTTCAGCGGCGAACTAGCGGGTCAGAAGTTAGACAAATGTTTCCAGAATTGTTTTGGCCATTCTGAACTGCCATCGAGCTAAAATTTGGGGGGAAATGAAGGATATAATATTCTAAACAGCCACAGAGATGACATTGTTGGCAAGGCTGGTATTTGAAATGAGATTCTCCCTCGTGGCCGAGGCGCGTATGGCCCAGGAGTTTCCACAATGCGTGACTGATTTTCTACTCCCCTGTTCCCCTTGAAATCTGTTTTTGACAAACTTGTCCTTGCTGTAAAAGTGTAACTGATATTTTTTCACGGGTCACATGAAGCTACCACTGTATTAGATTGTTTTGATACAGCATACAAAAGTCCCTTTGAAGGTAAGATATTGTGTTGAAGTTTGTCTTACATTACCGGCAAGTTCAATTCAATGAAGCCTTTTTTTGTGGGTGATTATGCCCCTTTTATGTTTTCTACTCTACTTGAATGAATCCTTTTTTATGTACATGAGCTTTTAAATTGATGAATTATTTTTCAGTCAAAGAAACTACTTCAGACTTGGATTTGCATAAGTTGAAAATTGTAAGAAATAGTAGAACACTGTCTTTATTCGTTGTTGCAGAAAAGTTTGTACCTTGAAGAGAATAGTTTCAGTAGCAGTAAATATGGCCTATGTTGTCAAACATACATGTGTATCACATCTTCAGTAACTTGACATAAAATTGACTACTAATGTGTTTTGTTTATTATGTAATAAAAGTTTTCCTTGCTGCAATTAAGAAGGCATTGCAAAACTCTACTTTACAAAATCTGGCCCTCAAAATGTAGGATATGGTGTTTCAGGGGGTTATATTAAGTTACAAGTTTAAGAATCGATACCCCCCCCCCATAATACACATTGTGTCTGCACCGCGCTCGCCGTGTGGCTTCGCTGCATTAGGTCCCCCTACGCTGTGAAAAAATCCTGGTGAGAACCCTGATACAGTCAAATAAAGGCATTTCATTATTTTCTATTGATCTACTGAATTGTCTTGACTTTTCTGTTAACTGTAGGTTCCAATAGCATGAGTGAGAAAATAACATCAAGTCTTGTAAGACCGTCCCTACAGATACAGGACTGGTGTTTAATTCTTTTTTCATTGATCTTTCAATGGTTTTGGCTTTTCTAATCTGTTGTGAGACTAAAGGATTGTAAAACTCACCTCTCTCCACCGGATCGTAGAAGTAGCCGTTATCTGCCAGAGTGCCGAACACAGACGGGATGAGGTCGGCCAGGTAACTCTGGGCGAACGCTCGGGCTGCGATCTTCTCCGCTGTCTCCTTTTCCTTCCGCAAAACTTCTCGCTGCTGCTTCATACGCCGCTCCTAAAAACAAACAAACAAACAAAACAATTAGATAAACATCCAACATTTCATGCTGCTGCTTTTTTAATATGCTGCTCATACAGAATCTGACACACAAAAGTCAGCAAACATTCAACACAGCAAGTGCATACACAGCAGTTCTCTTCCTGTTATCATGACTGCAAAGCTGCAGTTTTTCTAACTGAATGTCACAAAGGGGGATGAAGTAGAAACATGAGTAAAAGCACAAATGAATGACTGACTAAACGAATGATGAAGTGGAAACAAATGAAAGAATGAATGAGTGAGTGACTAGACCAGTGAAGAAGTAGAAACATGGATGAAAGCACGATCGAATGAGTGACTAGACAAATGATGAAGTGTAAACATGAATGACAGCACGAATGAGTGAGTGACTAGACGAACCTTCTCCTCGCGATGCCTTCTCTCCTGCTCCTCCAGTCGTTGTGTCTCCACCAGCTCAGCGTTTCTCAGCTCCTCAAACTCCCTCTGCTGAGCCCGCAGGTTAGCCAGTTCCTCCTCCTCCATCACCTCAAGTAGGGCCTGTTCAATCGTCTTACCCACTAGCACCTCCAGGATGGGCTTTACTTCTATGTCAAAGTCAAACAGCTGGGGGGGGGGGGAAATATCATTGTTAACTCACTCACACTCACTATCCAGTACAGTAACTCTTACTCTAAACAACAGAATCTAGAGCACAGCCTGCTCAATCGTCTTACCGACCAGCACCTCCAGGATGGGCTTTACTTTTATGTCAAAGTCAAACAGTTATAACTAACTCTACCATACCAGAGCGTCATTGTTTGGGAGAAAACATCATTCACTCTCAAACTGAGATACTGACATTCAGTGCAGTCAGTACAGAGTTGGTACAAATCAGCACTTTATGTAGTAAAATGAAAACTTCTATCAGGAAACATGTGTTTGTGTTACTTACATCTCCCTCGTATATCTGTGTCGCCACATCCTTGCCAGTTTTAGCGGGGATGAAGAGTGGGGAGGGGGGTCTGTGCTACTATATAACATGTGTTTGTGTTACTTACATCTCCCTCGTATATCTGTGTGGCGACATCCTTGCCAGTTTTAGCGGGGATGAAGAGTGGGGAGGGGGGTCTGTCCAGGAAAGTGTCGGTCTGAGTCTCCACATCAGCCTCCTCCACCCTGTCCGTGAGTTCTTCCAGATAGAGCTCCGTCTGCACGTCGATGTGTTTTCTGCCCTCCACAGCTTCAGGCGACCGCGGTCGCAGCTGCTCCTTCGCGCGCTTCCGGGCGATCGCTCGCCTCCGCGCCTCCTGCTGCCGCTGGATTTCTATTGGGTCCGGCTGGGCAGACTGGGGGGAATAAACAAAAATAAGCAAACAAACAAACAAACAAACAAACACCCTGCTGCCGCTGGATCTCTATTGGATCTGGCTGGGCAGACTTGGGGAACAGAGTAAACAAAAAGGTTACACAAGCAAACAAGGAAAGACACCAGGGGGCCCAAAATATAATCATTTCTAGGTCTTGTCAAGACCTACCCACCTACCAAGTTTCATGACAGTCCACCTTAAGCTTCTTGAGTTACATACACACAAACACACACATTTAACGCTATGGAAAACATAACCTAGCAGACTGGAGGGGACAAGGAAGGATCAGGTTTTGACCATCAGAAACATCTTAGTTTAACATCTTTTACTTGAAAGTTGAAGCTGCAGTAGCAGAAAGTTCTGTACCTACTACTTTTCTCAATTATTCATCAACTTGCATGAAACCGACATTAAAATGCAGAAACTTGTACCCAGTGGATCGCCGCGGGTTAGAAAAACACTTAGTGCCCCAGGTTAACCCTGGAAAATCCACTCAGGAGCGATGAAACATGTATGAAGGCAGGTAAGAAGGTAGAGAATTACTCACCGCGGGCAGGGTGTGCTGTGCATACGTATTGCCGCGCACGATTCTCCGGTCGTACATGATGTTACCGTAGAGCGCTGTGGAGTCCCTGCGAAGTTTTATAAACATTCCGTATGTTAATATGGCAATCATATTGAAGTCGGCAGAACAGGCTTTACTGTTCATATACTGTTTCATTCCTGATGTCATTTTAGAGCTTCAAAATGCTTCACTGACACTCAGATCTATAATATAACATCAATATATTAATATGGTGAAGTACTTTTTCTAAAACTGTATTTTCTGTTGATGAAGTAAAAAAAATTGACTAGGAGATAATCATGCCAATCAATGAATCACAATAGTGAACTGTAGATTTATTTTTTAAGAATTCTAATTTCTCCCATGTTTCCCTTGAACCTTTTCTTGACACTGTCACTTGTGTTGTCATGTATTTGAGTATTGTTTACTATGACGAAAACCCTAACGTATAACTACAAAACCATTGCTGTACTGTTCTCTTCTAAATTTCCTCATTAGTATATGATATTTTACAAAGGAAGACAAGAAAGGGTCATCAGTGAAACACTTGTTGAATCTCTCTATAATTTATGTTGATACACATTCAGTACTAGTATATATTTTCTTCAAAATAAAGATGAAAAGGCATAGGTTGATGTCTGGCATTTCTTTATGAATTATCAACAAATCATCGATCACTCTTTCCAATTTTTCCTGTGGTTCTGGTTTAGAGAATAATTTCTGTAAAATCTGTGCATCTCACAACACAACAGTATCCAAACGACACACCTCCATAGAACATGGAACTATGGAAACAGGTTTGAAAGCAGAGAGAGAACAACAAGGTAAAACTGTGTAAAACACACGAAAAGGTTGTAATAAAACGTGTAACTACGTAGATAAATGTTAAAGTGGTGAGACTTACTGTCCCTGTCCGGCGTCCCTGTACTTTTTGCGTTGTTGCACGGCCCTTGGTCGGGAAGAGAAGGTGTATGTGCCCCCGCCATGTTGTTCTTTTTGCTGCGGTAGTACCGTCGTCATTTTGGCGTTTTTACTCTGTCAGTCCTCAACACGGGAGCTCTGAGACGTGTGGAGTCGGTCCTAGGACGGGTTTTTGTTGAAATCTGAGGAAAAGTTGGTGAAAATGTTGGCTAATTTTCCCGGCACGGCTTGACGACCCTTTCACCCTGTTCTCTGCGTGGAAACAACAGACGGAAACAGGAGATGTTTAGAGGGATCACTTAGGGAGCGAAGAATGTATCCCTCCGCTTGGAAAGGCAAGAATCTTCCAATATTTGCAGTAAGATATAACGAAACAGCACAAAATTGGGTCTTAGGTTCTGATTGCTTCTTTAAGATAATTTTAGGTTAGTAATGGTGCCGATATTGGTCGTTTTAATTAAATGATTGGTACTATTTTCTGTGCGTGAGGATCTATGGCTGCGTGCTGAGGCGTAAATATTAGAAGCCGTCTCCAGGGGCAACAACAGATCGGATGACATCGTCCTTATCGTCACGCGAGATTTTGCGGGACTTCGCGTGAACAATCTACCGTTTTAGTTTATCAAATTTCCCATTTATTTCTGATACTTTGTTTATCAACAAAACGTACAAAGTCTGCGAAAAGAAAACAGATTGACTGAAAAAATGAAAGTGAAAAAATCGAAGAGTTAAATTTGAGGTCAAAGGTGAGATTACTCCCAGAGGTCATCGACGGTAAAGGCGGCATGTAGCGAGTCACAAATATGCTAATGAGTAGCATGCTAATGACTATGCTAATGACTACTATACCAATGAGTATAGCAACACTGACACTTATAACATTACATACATCTACTAAGTGTTTACTTGGTGTCCCAGCCCATTTATGCTCATCAATGCCCAGCCATGCCCAGCCCAGCCCATCCATGCCCACCCGAGCTCATCCATGCTCATCTATGCCCAGCCCAGCTCATCAGTGCCCATCCATGCCCAGCCCATCCCAGCCTAATCCATGCCTATCCCAGCCCATCCATACCCATCCCAGCTCATCCATCGCCCACCCGAGCTCATCCATCGCCCACCCGAGCTCATCCATGCCCATCCCAGCTCATCCATGCCCACACATGCCCATCCCTTCCCATCTCTGTCCATCCCAGCTCATCCATGCCGATCTCTGTCC